TGAAATAAGTGATTAGGTTAGCTCTTTTCCAAATAACTTGGAACTAAAAATAATTCATATTTTGTATAACTCCCAGTTTCCATTCTTGAAGAGAGGCAGTATTTCATATATAGTTTTAGCATCTAAATTGTACAATTTTGCTTTATGGTTCCTACACACAAATTGTTCACAAGGTGACACTATGATCACAAACCTAAAAATCAAAATACTTTTATACATCTTAGAAAGGTTATCTTTGCCCCAAAATGTTTAAGTCAGAAGTTTTTTTTTTTTTCCTAATGTCCTTTGGTCAATGAAGTTAAAATAAATTATTTTAGATACTAAAAAACTAGAATTTCTATGATAACATATATCCTAACAATAGATCATGGTACAGCAAGCAGTGAAGGTATTTCAGAGGCTCATAGTTGAGAAACAGATTATAGTAACAGAAAAAAGTTCAAACATAGAAAATGTGCAAGCTAAAAGAAGGCCATGGAAAGGGTCACATTTGCATTTTCACCAAAAGAAATGAATATCAACGAAAACATTTCAAATACAAGTACTGAAATGAATATTTATAATAAATTGAAGAAAGAATTGCTGCTGCATTCTTTAATTGATGAAGAGTCTTCTAATCTGAAAAAGTTAAAAAACTGCTGTTTGAAAATTCACAGCTCTGTACACACACATACAAATACAAATTTGGCTTTTTCATGTGCTTTCATTTAAAAGCAAGCAGAAAATTCATCAATATCTATTATAATCAGTTACTTCTGGATTCTGGCTAAGAACACCAACATGGCTACAGCAGCAATGTACTACTGCCATGGAGATAGAGATGATAAAGGGTAAGACTAATGTGTTTCACGGAGCTAAAGAATTACTAAGAGAAGCGCTTTCCGAATATTCTCAGCAATTGTCAGATATCTTTAATGCACAATCCAGTGAAATCAAGTAGTAATGTGCAATGAATAACACTTCTAGATAATAATCATAATCTTGAAACAAACCATATTTCTCACATTAGAAATCTGAGCTAAAATCATACATTAGTGAATCCATATGATGAGAAGATGGGACATTTTCTATCATTGTGCAATGATCTGTTCAAAAGGTTTGGCACAGAGATCTTCCATGGAGACATATTCATAACTGAGAAACTTCTTACCCAGTCCCATCTGTCATGTTGTTCCCTCTAGCCACAGCACCATGAAACATTTTTACAGAACTTAAGAGTCGGAATGAAGCCTAGAAGCCATTTACTTTAGTCACCTTTATCCTATTTTTTTAAAGTAATTAGTTCTCTTCTGATTAGAAAAGTAATAAAAACTTGTTTTAGGCCTTTTAAAATATAGAGAAGTCCAAAGGTATAAAAAAGAATTGACCATAAGTAACAACTGGGACAATTAACATGATACTGTATATTCTATTCTTTATTTTTATCTATTCACAACAGTATCATAAACATTATGTCATTAAAACTCTTCACAAATTCAGATTTTTAATGTCTGCAAAATATTTCATCCTCTGGATGAAACATACTTTATTTAATAGTACTCCCATTTCAAGTTGCTGAGGATGTTCATTAAAATTCTGCACTCTCTCTCTGTCTCTCTCTCTCTATATATATATATATATTCAAAAGGTATATGTATGTATAATCAAAATATATATCATCAAAATTTTAGTGAATATTTTTCTGGATCATAACATAGAAGTACAATTAAATAAATTATATATATGTACATACATATTTGCTCATTTTATTAAATATTTACTTGAGATGAATTCAGAGGAGAGGAAATTCCTTCTTTTACACATGAGGAAATGTAGATCTATACAAGTTACATGACTGATGAAGTCCAAAACTAAGGCTATCTGATTTTCTGTCCTACTATATCATGTATGTTTGTAAAGGAGTCTACTAGTTTCTTTCCATAATGTCACCCTCTGCAAGTTAGAAGTGCAGGTGTTGGATCTCATTCTGTTGTAATGCATGCTATTACTATAACTTAATATTGTTATCTTTAAATTCATAACCTATTATTCATCTTTCACTCATAAAACTACTTAATTCCCTCTTCAGCCTACATATAATGGTAACAAACCAAATCAGAGAAGCAAATTCAAATTGTAAGAAATCATTAGGAAATAAGAAAACAAACTAGGAAAAAAATAACAGAGTAAGACATTCTTTTCTTATTTCTCATTAGATTACAATTAAAAATCTACTTGATTATGGAAAAAGTCAGCTCCATTACAATTACCAGTAGGCAACAATTTCAAACAAAGAGTGGATTCCATGATATTATTCAAAGAGTTAAAGCATGTTAAACATATTTGAATACAATTCTGAAGTTATTTGGGAGAGATATGAAGGGTAAAGTCTTTAGTCAACTTCCACAAAGTCAAGATAAGCATCCTGAAGACAATCCAGCTGCTTTTAGATAGGTTGTTTATTTCCAGGAAAAGTACATTCCCCACTTCCAAAGACAGAAATCAATCAACCATCCAGAAAGCTTGTTGCCCTTCCATACAATCTCCAAGTATACTGATTGATAAGACAAAAAGTTCAATTGAGAATTATTGGAAAAACATAATAATTTCCAAGTCTATATGCATTTTAAGGTTCAAGGTTATTTTGGTTTCCTAGAATAATAAAACTTCAGTTTTTATTTTCAGAATTATAAAAATGCTAAAATAATTAAATTATTCAGATAACCATTCAGTAATTAAAAATTCAGTAAGAAATCTCTACACTCAAACATCACAGCTTAGCTCTAAATAAAAATGGTGGAGCTTTAATTTAATTCACTTTTTTTCCCCTCTGTCCTTTTAAAACTTGCTTGGGAGCATCAATATTAATAATTTCTCCTAGTCATTAATGCTATTGGAACACAAAAGGCGGAATATCACTGTAAGGGTAAAAATGTATGTACTAAAACTCATCAAATACAAATAGTTAAGAACATGATGTGACAGATGTTTTCCTTCATCCTAGTAAAGGTTCTTCATCTAATTTTGACAAATAAAAGCAATACGAGTTAAGTGAATGGAAACTGATAGCTCAGTCCAACTTGGGAACCAAAAGTCACTTTCCATATATATATTTATATCCATTAAAAAAGAAAGAAGAAAATAACCCCTAAATTTCAAAGTGGTTTTGTGTCTGATTCAAATTACAGTTCAAGATATAAATAACCAGTAGATTCATTGAAAAACATGATATAAACCAATGGCGTCAAAGTGATGCACACAATATATTTGTCAGTGTTTTGAATATCATAACTTCTTATTGTAACAAAGACAATGAGATTGCCCTTCCCACATGGTACTCACCTTTTTTTTTAAGCTATAAGTGACAGAGGATATTTCCATATCTGATACACTTTCAACTTTCATAGGTATACTTATAGTTCAGTGGTTCAAAATACTACTATTAAGTACACAGCAGGAAAGAGCCCAGGAAGAGCTACACAATAGATATGTTATTCAGAGTTATGTACAATTCCCAGTATTCTGGCTATTAACTCAGCCTAATTTTCTTTCCCAAATAAGAAAGCATCTGGAATACAAGTGACTGGAACACAAGTGACTGAGAATAATACTAATGATATAGATAATATCACATTGGCTTTATTTACTAACAAAGAGAAAGTAAACCAATCTCAAACTTTAGCACTCTGTTATTAGTAAGTAATGATTTTCCCCACATCCACAACTGATAACAAAACAACAAAAATTTTTAACAATTCATTTCCAAGTCACTACCCTACCAATTAAAGCCCAAACTAGTTAACTAACAATCTAATGAGGACTTGGCCAACAACATGATACAATGAATAGATTTAATCTCATTGATGAGAGAGAAATAAAACTGCTTTCGAGTGATTAATTTTCACTTTCAAGTTGCTACTAAACTTCTTCATGATCATCACTTGTACTACCCTCTAAGTGACCTACAACATTTCCAACCTGCTCACTCTTTGATATACTCTACGAGGATTCAACTGTATTTTTGTAATAATTATTACCACAAAGCAAGAAAGACCTTAGGTGTATTTATTATCATCACTGCAGCTAGAAAAAAAAGTAGTAGTCTCATCAAGTTTCCTTCCACTTACCCATAACAGTTATCCAACCCCACATGTCTTATTGTAATTTTATCCAAAGGTGAGTCAAAGTGACTGTTCCCCTAGTGACTACAGTGGTCCCTCATAATAGATGAAGTAAATTGTTTTATAGAGACCACCAATATTTAGTTTGAGACAAAAGGAAGTGGATTTTTTTTGCAAACCTATCTAAAGGTGCTCAATATTAACTTACACATACGTAAAAAGTATAGATATGTCTAGCTAAAGAAAAATCTAATGGGATGAGGACCCAAGTTTTTAAAAGACATAGGTGAACAGAAATCGGTGCAGTGTCCATCAACTAAAATATTCTTCACTTTAGATAATGATTTATTGCAAGGGTTCATAAATAGAAAATTTCTGTACATATTCAAACATTTTTAAAAACTATGAAATATGAGTTTAGTCACAGGTTTTATGGAATAAAAACATAGTATAAGGAACACAAGCATTTCCATCATAAATTAAATGTTGAGAAATGTTACTTACCAATATTATTTCCATTAGACCTATATTTTTAACTAATGACTTATAAAATAGATGTTTCTAGGTCTCTTACACATTATATCTGTTAAACACTAACTGAAAACATAAGGTACAAAGCATTTCTGTGTAGTGAAAACAACTTTCTATTGGAATCAGGTAGGCAGCTGAAAGCATGTTTTGGTACCTTATTGAGTTGTCTAAGTTCTTTCCCGGAAAGACACACACACACACCTTGAGTGTTTAAATTATCTATGTGATATTTAAAAGGAAATTTTCAATTGTAAACTGTTCCACTATTAAATTCATAATTAGTCTTGGCTGGATTACCTGAGCAACCTATCTGACATACTTTTGTTCCTACGTTTGAAATGCAATTACATTAGCAACAAGATGACTTACCGGCCCAAAAGAATTACTGTCAAAACTGTGCCCGTGATGATCACCTTCGACCCAGATGTGGCCACGGGGGACTTTGACATAGCGGTTTTTGTGTCCAATGGTTCTAGAAATAAACAGCATAACCACTGAGGAAAGATCAGGAAAGAAAGAGATCGAATAGCTAAGCATATAAATTCAGGAAGGGCAAAAATGCTGTTATATAGATACAACAGATTATTATAGGTTAATCCCAGGGCTACTCCAGAACTTCATTGTTAATTAAGGTGTGGTTAGGACCCTGTATACCTACCCATGTTTTTTTTTGTTTATTTGTTTTTTTCATGTTTTAGTAGGGAGGAATTTCATGCTTAAATAGGATGCACTAACACTGAATATAATGGTTTGCTACTTAATTTAATTCATAATATCCTATGTTTTTATGAAACTCAATAAGCCCTAGCAAAATATAGATCTATTTTTTTCTGACATTTGCTTTTACCTCATCAGCTTAGCTGCAATCTTTGCTTTTCTTGTCAAATAAACTTCTCAAACCAACTGAAAGAATTTTCATAACCTCTTAATAGTCTAAAATTTAGCACACAGAAGAAAACCTAGATAATCTCCAGCCAAATACAAACTATCTTCTCAAATATATGTCAATGAATGTTAACTGAACACTTTTGATCAGCACTATTTGATTTCATAAATTATTACTGAAAATGAGAAAAATTTTTAACAATTTTTAGACTATTTAGAGATCAATGATCAAGGATATACATTTAGTGGAACATTCTATCTTCTTAAGGCTGACAAGGAAATGGAGTAAGGAAAGGCTCTCTCACCCTCCTGGTGGCAATGTAAAATGAAACAAGTTTTTTCCTGTTTTACCATTTGGGCCTAATTTTTGTCAAATGTATTAACAGACTAAATTATACATGTCTTTTGACCTAGTTATTCTACTGGTAGAAATCCACTCCAAAGAAGAAATCAGAAATATGGACAAATATTTATTATCAGAGATGTTCAACAGAGGCCTTCTATAGCAAAAAAAAAAAAAAGCTTTCTAAATAATCAATAATAAGGATTGGTTAAATAAATTATAATACAACTAATTAAATAAAAGAGATAGAATTAGAGTAAATTTATTATCCCAATTCTATAATAATAAATTCTTTCCAGGGCAGAGACATTTTTTTTCTTCTTTTATTCCCCAAAGAATTCCAGACAATGCCTAGCTTAAAGAAGCTTCTCAATAAATGATGGTTGAATGAATAAATGTCACACCCAACTCTATAGAGTTAAACCCAGAGACTGAGCTTTGTACACGGTTTTTGAGTTGGCATCCCATCAGAACACTTTTGTCACCTAGTTAGCAAGTTGCGTATGTGCAGAGAAGAGGAACACTACACATAAATTGGTGCTATAGAAATTGAAACTATTCATTATCGAGAATGGTTTTTAATTTTCAAGACAATTTCAGTGTTGAATTACTTCACTTTAGATCAGTAAATCATTCATGCAAGGAAGCAATGTTGTGGCCATTAGATGCCCACAGTAAGTTAATGACTGCTGTTTATTTTTAATTACTACTGGGAAGAAGAGTTTCAGCTTTTCAAAGAAAAGCAAAAATAAGCTGAATACATCGTACTGTCATGTAAGTTTTCTTCAATTAAAATCAGTCAATTAGTTCTTGACATCCCTGCTGCTTTTTATCAGGAGATAGCCTCTAAGAACTGACATCCCACAGCAAGTGTCAACGATGGCAGGCAGAAGACCTTTTTACTTAACTGTTGGTAAGGCACACTCTCTGAATAAGTCCAAACATTTGTTCACCTTATTAAGCCAGCTATTTTGGATAAATACTTAGAAAGAAAACAATTACCCATTTTGTCTCTTCAAGCAGAAATGTGAAATAAAAACAATCATTTCTGCAACGAAATGGTAGGTTTTAAGTCAAGCACGTATCTTCTGGAGCCCAAAGGAACGAGATAAAATTCAGATTCAGCTTCAATGTCATATAAACCAAGGAATCAAGGTATTTGTGATAGGAGAGTCACAGGATTGTTAAATACCAGTGACAGTTGCACATTTCCTTGCACTGACCATCTTATCTAAAAAAATCCAAATACCTCCACCTTCCTATCATTTTCTTACAATGCTTCATTTTTCTTTATTGCAGCTACTAACATGACATTCACTTACTAGTTTGTTTATTGCCTATCTTCCCCCACGATAATGTTTAAACAGGACTCTGTGTTTCATGTTCATTGGAGTATTCCCAGAGCCCCCCAAAATGCACAGTACAAAGTGCTCAACAAATATTTGTTAAATGAGTGACCAAATGAATGTATAACTGAAGAATGAAAAATACTGCCACAAAGGCAGAGTAGTAATAGTAGAAAGAGTCTAGAAACAGACTAAACTAGCTTTAATTCTGATGCTATTACTCACAAGTAATCTTGTGTAAGTTATTTAGTTTCTACCTCTATTTGTTCATCTTTAAAATGGGATCGATTAAACATGCCCTAATGGGATTGCGATGAAGGTTAACAGTTAGACAAGAATATAATGAAGAAATTGCTATAGAGCACAGTCTTGCCATCAGCCTGTCTTGGCTTTGGTATCTGGCTTTCTCTAGAGAAATTCTATTAGGAGTATCCTTCAATACTTTATTTTTCCCAAATTTGCACCGTGACTATAGACTATTTCTAACAGTACAATGAATCTTATTTTTCTTTTATGGTATGTCCTTATGGGATAGAGTGTGTTTTCACATGTAAGTTTTAGACTATCTGTTTGTGCAAGTTCAAACATGAAGAGAATAGCACGTGAAAGCATAATCTGTGTTTTCACTTACTAGTCACATGCATATTTGATTGTTGCTATGCCAATAGTGAACGGTTAACCTAGACAGTACACAGGTGTGAAAGAACCCTTTGAGCTGTAGAACCCTGCTAAGATTCATGCCATATACATAGTGCATATTTTATTTCTCTTAAAAAACAACCCAAAGTAGCTTTAAAAATATGATGTTAAAATATTGAGCTGGTTCCTCTTAGGACTGCCAAAGAAATATAATACTCCTAATAGAATTTCTCTAGAGAAGGAATTTTAAATAGCTTTGTGCTCCTGAATCCACATAAAAGAAAGACAAGATAATCTTTTAGGCGATTTAACAGTTAAGTGAGGTGTCAGCCTACAAGGTTGTATGTATCTATAGCTCGCAAATAATTTTGGTCTTGATAGTCAGAAATGAGTTCTGTATGGTATTCTAACTACCTGTCTACAAAAAGGCATTTTTAGTACTAGCTTCACCAAGAAGTTATCTATGTCTTATAAATGGAATGGAGAATGATTGTCTCCAATTTGATTTGACCTTGAAAACAATGTTTTTCAAGTCTCTGAATCTTTTGTCATCAGCTGAATATGAAATTGTCTATGTAATCCTTGAAACCACAGGAAGGAAACAAATTCATATTTAAAGTGTTTTGCAAATACACCCATATCCACACACACTCCATATATCCACATTGATTAAGGTATTTTTATTTATTTAATTTTCCAACCATTCTATTGATTTTTTTCCATTGTCCAAAGTAGTGGCTGCCCTGAGTGTGTCCACAGGACCCTCCCTGGATCCTAGACCCTGGTTGTTCATTATCATGAAGGGATCAGGAGTTTGGGGCTCAGGACTCAGTAAGTTAGGGGTTGGAATTAGATCTCTTTTATCATCGTTGATACACTGGAACAAAAAAAGTAATCAATCATCAGCAAAGGAAAATGAAAAGGACGTTCGCTTTTGCAGAGTAGGCCTCTGGAAGGGAAAAATTTCTCCCTTGAGAAGCCATATCCTGCTCTCAGGAGAGACTGGGGCTCAAATTCACACTGCTTGTATGGTCTGGGAAAGTTAAGAGTTATCTTTAATTGGCTCCAGGAATCAGGCAGAAGGAAACATAAATCTCTTCAGGGATAATCCCTCAATTCAGAGTTTTCAAGTTTTCTATAGATAAGTCCCGGCCAATAGGGATTCACAATCCAAAATACAGAACTCACAAGGAAATAGCTTGCATTAATGAGTCAGGACCTAATCATAAACATCAGAATTAGACCCCCAAGGACTTAAAATGCTGTATTTACAAAACACAGAATACAAATTATACATATGCAATATTTTTAAAAATTGAAAAGGGAATTAAAGACATGAAAAAGGAATAATATATATTTTAAAAAGTCAGATATTTGAAAAAGAACCACATAGGGATTCTAAAAATTAAAATATACTATTAAATAGGTGGATTAAAAAACAGATGAGTATTAATTAAAGAAGAACTGGAATGTATATCTAAAAAATTACTTAGACTTCAGTACAGAGAGGTAAAGAAATGAAAAACAGCAGGGATGTTAGAGAGACAGGGAGAATATTATTAGAAACTGTAATATAAGTGTAATCAGAGTCCCAAAGGAAGACAATAAAAAAGGAATAAGAGACAATATTTGAAACAGAGTGATAGAGAATTTTCCAGAACTGATGAAAGCATAAATTCACAAATTCTGTAATTAAAGTGAATCACAAGTAAAATAAATAAGTAGAAAGAAATCACACAATGATATCCTGTAATGAAACTGCAGAACAGTAAAGAACACCTCTCCCCTAAAACATTTTGGAAAAGCTGCCAAAGGTAAAAAGTCGATTATCTTCAAAGGAATAACAAATTGACAGTGGACTTTGTTAGGGTATAACTTAAAATTGTTGAAAAATAATTCAGTAGTTTTAAGCAATGAGGTTTAAAAATCTATCCCATCACATAATCACTAGATCAAGATGTAAACACTTTAATCACCCAAAAAAGTTTCCTCATGCTCTTCTGCAGGCAAACCTGCCTCTACCTCAACCCTTGGACCCCGGTAACCACAGCTGAGCTTTTTGTCACTACAGTTTTGTCTTTTCTAGAATTTCATATAAATAGAATCATTCAATATGCATTCTTCTATTTCTGGCTTTTTTTTTTAACTTAGTCTATTTGTTTTTGAGATTAATCCACATTGTTACATGTTAGTCATTTGCTACTTTCTTTTTTTTTAATAGTATACTATTATACAGATATATCACGATTAGTTTATCAA